GACAAGTGCGAAACAAAGTCGGCCAAAGAACGAGCGATGGCCGCGTGTGTGCATGCCACATTGCTCCATTACTATCACCGGACGCTCGGTATTTGACAAATATTAGTCCCCGATTGGAATTCGGATCATTTGCATTGGGACTGTTTGTGGGTTTCGGTTGACTGTCAGTGTTTGTTGGTCGCATAGAGAAAACCATCACCCTGTTAAATCACCATACGGGGCTCAATCCCTTGCTAACGTCTCAATATTCGTACTCAATCGTGATGTTGATGCTCCAGCTCTGCTGGACTAGAAACATTGGCTTCCCCAATTGTTGAAATACTCAAAATCCTGTCAGACGACAACCCTGTTAGTTCTTCTGACCCGGATAGCATCAACTCGGAAGGTTCCTTAGGAATATATCGACGTACCGATCTTCCCACGTCAGTTTATTCGGGTCCTCCCACCGCCTGGGGTGTATACCTGTTACGGTTCGGTCACGCAGCGAGCAAACAATATGATATGCGGATTGTGGCAATACTCTATCCCCAGCTATGTTGCTTGATCTAGACTCCTAGCACGGCGGATGGTAAGAAGACGAAAAACCTCGGACACAAACTTTAATGATAAAAAAACACGCGATCAACAGGCGATGCCCCGAGCCGAAGTCAGTAAAAAGATGGTATCGTGTAAATAAGTGGTCGGATTTAAATTTCTTGGACTATCAATAGGCCATTGATTTATTCGTAGTTTGACCTTGAAGATGCCGGAAGTTCGCTAGCACACAAAAATACAGCGTTTTTTGGGGGATATTGATATCCCCAACACCCCTTGTGAAAAGTCAGTAACATACTCGACGGGGGTTGACCTGGATACATTCCGGCTGGCGGCGGCGTCGGTCTGTCCACCGCCTGGGAAGAAGTATTGGATCAAATACCGAGCTGCCGATCACACTCTCCTCTTTCGAAGCTGTCTCAGTTTTCAGCTCAAAAGTATCGAGCAATATGTCCAACGGTACGGTACCCGAACATACTTGAGTTTCCGGCGTGCTGTTAAAGCGGATTTGGTTTTGATGTCTGGTCCAGGTGTCTTGGCCAACCGACACGTCGTACATTACACTACCGCGTTTGCGCAGGATACGACCTGCAATCCATGAATCATGCCCTGGGCGATAGTCACGGACAAGCACGGGCGTTCCCACCTTGAATGGGGTTCCAACTACCACCGGTATGGACCTTGACTCAGTAGGTTGTGTTGGCAACATGGAAGAATGCACAGTTCTAAGTTTACGGCCCATAAGTGCCTCTGCAGGTGACTGGGTCGTTCGGTACACAAACAGGAATCTCTGAAGGGCTTCGACGGATGTCTCCCCTCGAGCTTTAAGCAAAGCCCTCTTTCTGCTTGACTGTTCGATTGTGGGTGGTACGGTGGTGAACGAACGTGTGTTATCGCATGTCGAGTGCAGAAGTCGCGGAACTCAGCAGAGGTGAACTGCGAACCATTGTCTGAGACTATGGACTCCGGTAATCCATGCTGACTGAAAATGTTGGATAACACTCTCAGCGTACTAGATGTTGTTGGAGATGACACCGGAACGATTTCTGGCCACTTGGAAAAAGCGTCAATCAAAACCAAATAAAAAGTGCCATTTATCGGTCCTGCGTAATCAATGTGGATCCGAGACCAGGGCTTTTCAGGTCGAGGCCAGGGAACCGGTGGTTGGTGTGGCGGATTCTTTGAAGCTTGTTGACATCGGGAGCAGCGTTTTACAAAATCAGTGATGTGCTGGTCCATGTGCGGCCAGTATGCGTAACTGCGAGCTATTGACTTCATACGGTTGATTCCTGGATGTCCAGAATGGAACTGACGAAGAACTCGATGGCGTAAAGGTTGCGGAATCACCACGCGATCTCCAAACATTAAACAATCTTTTACGATCGCTAATGCATCTCGGCGATGAAAGAGCTGTCGAAGGGAATCATCTTTGAGATTCGAAGGCCACCGAGAATTCATGAATCGGATCACCTTTTGAAGCGTTCCATCAGCTGTGGTAGCTCTTTGAACCTCTGTTACTGTCACGGGCAAGGCACGAACGGACTGGACCAACTGTGGGTCGGCTGGGTCCTCAAATGCAACATGCGCAATAACCGTGTCTTCTTCGGGTGTTGGCTGGTTGTTGATCAGGCGAGGTAATGCATCGGCCTGACCGAAGTCGGTGGTGCGCCGATATTGAATATCGAAGTCATACCCCAGCACAATCAGAGCCCATCTTTGCAGGTGTTTGGCAGAGTGCGCTGGAACACCTTTCTTTGAACCAAAAATGGGGAGTATTGGTTTGTGATCGGCGAGTAGAGTGAAACGGCGACCATACATCAATTTGTGGAAACGCCGAACCGCAAACAATACCACAGTCTCATATGCGACTTCTAACTCCATATATAATGTAGGAGCCCAACTGAATGTCGTTCCATTGACCTCACATGCACCCCTTGCACAATCTTGAAAAAAAATGCAAACAGACTCCTGTTTAATTACCCCCTCATCAATAAACTTCATTATCCAATTTACAGCGTTATCATATTTGGCCAGATCATGTTGAGTGAATCGTCACGAAAGTGGGAAGCGCCATTATTTATTATTATTCATTTATTTATTATTATGCACCCAATGATTCTAATGCTCGATGACGGTTTTTGAATTCATCTGCATGACCTTCAGTGTGCTCTGAAGACCGATATTAGGAGATGTGAATGAATATATATACCGTGCAAACTGAGATGGATATCTTGATGGTTCTCACGGAGCAGACAACTCAGGACGACACTGTTAACCCTGTTTTGGGTCTGTGTCCAACACTGCCTGTCCCTCTTTGGTAGAAACTTCAGACAAGTGCCGTTACTCACCTTGACTTCTACCTTCCACTACTCCAAAATGGACGGATTGAGCCATAGAGGGACGTTATCCAACACTAACTCCTGCCCGACCCCCCTGTCTGGATTTGTATCAGGTCGTTATTTGCGTCAATTCTCCAGTGCGATTCCGTGGAAATGGAGTCAATCGATCATTATTATTTACAGAGGCTTGACGAACCAGCAAGTTAACGAAATGAAGCAGGTTGGCGCAGTTGGGAGTATATATGAGCATTTTTATCTAATATTCTACGGTTTGGTAACATGGGCAGCGCACGCTCAGGACGTCATGGGTGTCTTCAGTGTCTTCAGGTCGCCTTACCCGTGTCTTGTGGGAACGCCAAATCAGTATTATTGATGGACATCGCATAACTTTCGGAAGAAATAACTCGTCCACGGTAGATGAGCTGATCGCATTTCACAGTTCGCTCACGTGCTCCGTATCTCATTTAACCGACTTTTTTGAAGGACTTTTCTAACAACCACACAAAGGGAGGAAACGTACCAGGGCTGGTCAAACAGTGAATTGGCAACGAAGCATAACATCAGTTACCAGCAAACTCAGTTGCGCTAGTCATTAATGCCTCCGGAGACGGGACACGGCGATGGTCAGGACATCGTCAGACAGCTAAATCGTACCGTCACTGGCGTTCATGCATTCAAGATGTTGATTTCAATGCATAGCTCCCCTCCTGACCTGCTAGATAAAAAGTCCGATGACACCTCTGTATTTACGGATTAATTATATCACCTACCACCTCCAATACGTAGGTATCTACTCCCACATCCCCAAATAACCGGTTGACAAAACTGGGCTAGTCATAACCACTGTACGGCAAGTACGCGGTTTTTACAGATATTAATAATAGTAATAATAGTAATAATAATAATGATTGCGATAATGTTGTTTCATTTGATCTGCAAACGGGACCTGGGAAACCGTCGATTGTCAAGTGAAAGATATGAAAAATGTAGCATACAGTAAAACTGGCGTGTAGATAGCTGAGTGAGTCATATATCACAAGTCTAATCGCCCTTTATATTTTTCATATGACACGTCCCGATGTAGTCGCAATGTGTAGGTTCAGATCTCCCACCAGTCTAGAACGCTTCTGCTTTGAAACCCTACCGAGCTCTTGGTACAGATGTTTCCACCAGCATTATTCAAAGGTGGTTGTGAATATCTGTATTCTGTTTCTTTGAGACAGCCTGTTTCTGGGGACGGTCAGTTCCAGTCATTGCACACTTGTTTGGGGAAGTACCTGAAGCGACCAACGCGAAGAATTTGAAGCTCATCGTGTTGTGACAGTTTGCGTAACTTGACAGCCTACTGAAGCTGTTCACGCAGCATCTACAGAGTAAATTATCAGGTTGGTGAGTGGAATAATGCCTTAGAATCAAATTTCTGGCCTTCCAATTATGAGGTTGGGTCGAGGGTGGCCAACTTGTTTCTTAAAATTCTGACTACGGTCATAATCCTACGCCAAATGCTGCTACCTTGCAACCGGGATTTCGAACCAAAAGCTTTGGTTGAGGACTATAATCTCTAAGTTTGGACACTGACAATATCCCAGCCTTCGTACAACTATGAGGTACACAAACAAAGCTACCCCCACTCTACGTCGACCGTTGTTCGGTGAAATCAAACAGGTCGCCTTACCCACTTCCACACAGTTGGAGGGATAAGCAAAAACATGTGAAGTAATTGACATCTTCAGCAAAAAAAAGTCATTCAACGGTAGCACCTTTTCCGTGCCCAACGGCCATGCCACCAGAAGGGAGAACGAGTGCTGGGATACTGCTAGGTTGCCCAAGCCTAGTCCAGATGCAGAGGTCGGGTTCGAACCACGGACCTTCGGTTTGTAAATTCACGCGATCTCGCCCCCTTCCTAAGTAAAGTGGCTGGACTTATACCGCAACGTTGGATGACGACTCACTGTTTGTGGCCGCCCCGTATGACTGGTACCAACCAGCTGATTTTGACTGAACGTATGAAGTAGTGTGACACCTAGAGGTAAATGCTTTGCAGAAATTTCTGATTCACCTGTTATTGTGATCTTTGAATGGTCTCTGATTAAGATCCTTTCGATTGTTTTTAGTGCGTTAATTCGAATGTTCTCGGCTGCACGCGCTTCTCAGCAGTCGGCGTGCCTTGTCCGCCGGTTACAACAACCGGTTTCACGCTACCACAAGAACGTTATTGATCATTATGAGAACCCAAGAAATGTAGGATCATTGGACAAGGCAGACAAATCCGTCGGTACTGGGCTTGTGGGGGCGCCTGCCTGTGGTGATGTGATGAAGTTGCAAATCAAGGCAAGTAACACATTGCTGCACGAACTTACTCGTCATTTGTTTCCGATTTCCACGGGTTACACCGGAAGATGGTGACTACTCAGTCGGACGTAGCTGTCGGGCTTTGCTATTCCACTCGAGATAGTTGGGGCATTGGGTCTACGAAGAGGTCCTTGATTCGAATACGCTCTAATGATTTCGCAGGAGAATCATCTTTCTTTATTAATTTAATCGTAGGGGAAAGCGACTGCGGTTTTCGTCTGATGTTTATCTTCACACTGGCGAAACGGATTCATTTAGGGATCGGACATTCCACCTGTTTTTCTCCTTTTTAATCTTGTGTTCATGATGGTTCGGTTACTCTTTTTACCACGACGAAATGAGCCCAAGGTTGGTCATACGCATTTGGCACATGATTCTGCTTGTTTGTTCCAAGGATCTAACGAGTATTCGTAACTTGATAAAGAACACTTCTTCCAGAGCTATTGTTACAATTACTTTTGGATATTAATGTTCTGATAACTCACCTATGTCGGAAGTATTTCCAGCGAAAACAAGTAATGTAGGCCCACGGGTTTTGTTACTCAGTTTAATCCAAGCTGTAAAAGTCGGCCAGGGAAGTGGAAAACGGCCAATCATCTCCTTGGTAGATCAGCTTATGCCTTAATTTTGGTACTGGTTTTCAGGAATTGTCTTGTGATAGCCCTAATCTATTTGTTTTCCCATCCGCCGCCCCATTGGCATTCACTCATTTTTCTGATGACAGGGAGTACTCATTTTCCTCGTTAGTTATCGGATAACTGTATTGGTTACTGAGAAGCACTAAATAATCATCTGTTCGAGGCGGCATGGATAAGGTAAAGTCACAGCAAGGTCGTTTGTCCCTCAGGACAGACTCTTCTTTTGAAAAAGATTTCGGTCAGACAAGATGACTTGTATTATCTTACAAGGACGTAGTAACTCGGCTTCCACCCTGTCACCTCTGAGGAACGATGGTTAACTTTTGAGGGGAACAGATGGTGTCAAACGGTGGTGAAGCTGAAGTGGAAGTTTCAGTTTCAGCGCAATGCAAACTGGACCACGGTGTACTCAACTGATGAACTGGTAAGATTTCGACGTATGTAGGTTTTCAGATTCAGCGAATTTGAAAGATAAGGTCGGACAGAGTACCAGAAACCGTTTACCAAATTTTGTGGACTACTGCAAATACTGTGTTGCACAAACTGGTCAAAACTATCTGCAATGGTTGGGATATACGAAGGTCAAGAAGCACCTAAACTGATTCTAGAAAAGGGTGAGCTCTTGGCATGCGAAAACACGTGAGAAGCAAGGAATATACTAAGAGAGTGACACTCCGCTGCAAACTCAGTAACTGTGGAAATCTATCAAACCTACGTACTTCGTAATCAAAGGATCAACTTAATCGGATGGCGTGAAGGAAACTGACTACTATCAGACGTACGGATCACTTGGTAAGAGTAGCAACTCTGGAACTAACAAGACAGAGATCACCGGGTCTAAGCAAGAGAGGTGAATCTCAGACGTCGACAACGAACGATCCAACCAAGTGGACCGACCATTCAGACCACCTATCATAATCGGAGGTTGCTCCCAGTCGGAAGACACACAAACATATGCGCAGCACTGCTTTACGTCTGCACGCCGATGCATTATCAACTTATTGTGCGCTGATGATTGTTGCGCACTCGAATGATTGTGCCAGAAACAGAGAACGAGGATTGCCGAATGATTAGCTTTAATCTTCTATCAATTTCAGTACATTAGGAAGCACAATTAGCTCAACGAATAGCGAGTAAAAAGTTAAACACAACGTCAGTATATAACATTCTTCCCCGCCGGAGGGATTATTGTCAGGAGAATATAAATTAGGCTTCGCGGTTTCGAAGATTATACGGTCGAACACGTTGTTGGTCTGTGATGTACTGTAGGACATTCCGTGGAACTTCACTGGGTTGTTCTGGTGGTGCCGTTTCGCCTCCAGGAGGATCAAGCGAGTGTGATTGAGTCTCGTCTGGAGGAGCTGCTATACTTTCGATTGATTCAGTTAAATAGACATCTGAGATATTCGGTGCTTTGGGTGCCAGATATCTAAGGGAAACAGTTTCTTCCTTTCCGTTCGGGAAACGAACGCAGGCATACTGCGGGTTGCAATTAACAATTTCCACCTCTTCCACTAACGGATCGTGTTTGGAAGAACGTGTCATCCTTTTTAACAGAACGGGGCCTGGAGTCGATAACCAAGTCGGAAGAGAGGTGCCGTACGTTGACTTCCGGTGGAAGTTAAGAAATCTTTCGTGTGGTGTTGTGTTAGTAGCGGTGCACAATAAGAAGCGAACAGAGTGCAAAGCATCTAGAAGCACACATTCCCACTCGGTAATGTCCCGTTGTTGGGTCTCCAACGCCAGAGTGATAGACTTCCAAAGAGTACCGTTAAGCCGTTCGACTTGTCCGTTACCGCGCGGATTGTATGGGGTAGTTCGACTGGTTGCCACACCCCTGTCGTGAAGAAACGTTTGTACTTCACCTGACATGAAAGCTCCACCACGATCAGAATGGACGTATGAGGGCATTCCGAACAAAGAGAACAACTGATTAAAACACTTGATCACGGTGGATGAGGACACATCCGTACACGCGAAGGCGAATGGGAAACGAGAGTACTCGTCGATCATTGTTAGAAGGTATTTGTTGTGGGAGGTCGATGGAAGTGGGCCTTTAAAATCTATGCTGACGCGTTCAAACGGCTGTGTAGCTTTAATAAGATTGCCAAAAGGGTGATTGAGGAAACGAGGCTTCAATTCGGAACAAATACTACATTGATTTGTAATCGCCTCAACATCCTCAATCGAAAAGGGCAAATTTTTTTGAGCGAACAAAACGAAGCATCCGCGTGATACCGGGGTGACAT